AGATAATATCCGGGAAATGATAAATAAATAAAAGAGATGATAAGAACCGAGAAACGAAACAGGGGAACTTGTCTCTGCGAGCTCTAAGATGCAAGACGGCTTTCTGGGTTGAGAACTAATCCAAGCTCCAGCCATGTTTAGTCAAGAATAGGACAAAAATGGATGGTCCTGATTTTTTTCTAGGTAGAAAAAGATCCTGAAGTAAGAAATAAGATGCAGAAATAAACAAAGTCAGTGAGCAGGCCTGTTTGACAAGAGTTGGAGAACAGTGCAGAATTCCAAAGAAGTTAAATAGAAAACAGTTGCTATCCTTAACCCCTTAGCATCCAGAAAAGCTACAACATGTTTCCAGTGCTGAATGAGAAAATGCTCTCAGTATAGACCAGTCCTGGTTATCCAAAGGCCCAGAAAGACTGTGTGTGTGGGTATATATACCTATCTATCTAGAATCCTAGCAATGTCACATCTGATATGGATAAAAATCAGTACAGCTTCTCAATGCTTGATACAGACTCAAGAAACTGACATTCCTTTTTTGGTTAAGGTATTTTGTTTGACTACTTTCTCAAAAACAATTGTCCCTAACATTCTCTGCTGTTGATTCCTGTCCTAGACTGTGTATGCCTCGAGGAAGCCACATCCGTTCCCCATTTTCAGTCTCTTCTGGCTCAGAGATGGGGCCCATCGAAGCCCTTCACGAGTCACCCCCAGGTGGTCAATCCACAGGTCTCCTTGAGCTCTGCACCCTGTTCTGTAGCCATCTGTGGAACAGAGAGAGGCAGCTGCCATGCTCTTGGGCAAGCGGAGCGACGCAGATCCAGGGGACTTTTCTTGGGATTGTAAGATTTCTCCATCTCAAAAAGGGATTCACAGCAATATGTTCGTCTTCTCTGCTCTAACAGACATGCTATGAAACCCAGTGAACCGACATTTCCAAAGACTCTGGGTTCCTCTGATGGGAAGCCACTGTCATAAAGGATCCCTGGCTCGTTCCACATGACATCGTGAAACACCACTTCCCATAATAAGTTTAAATCAATATTAGGTGACATGGTGTGGTGCTGTGTAAATCACCAAAATGATGTGTCATTCAGGTAATATTTCCAAAATAAAAATGGAGCCTCATCAAATTGAGAGAACTTGCATTTACTTTAAGACGCCCAGGATCAAAGAACCTGATGCTAACTGGTAGACGTAGTGGACCTTTCCTGACTTCTGACAGTGACTCAGCCCATTTTATTAACAAGCTAAAACTAAGTAAATGATGAATCAGTGCCTGCAAAGCAGGAAAAAGTGCGTTTCCCACTAAAAATTGCGAAGTGTGATAAACCTATTTCCGTTAAGAAAACTGCTGGAGTTTTTACTGGGGAATTTCCCAGGCAAACAGAGGGAAAGATATATAAACCAAAAGCGGAAGGTAAGCACATTTCCTCTTAGTGTTTTTAATGCTGCACACTAATGCAAACACAGTGCATAATTCGGGGCTGTTTCATGTCACCTCCTCCCCAAGCCTGATCGGAAGAGATAACCTTCCGTCGACTTGCCCAGTCCAGTTGGGCTGGCAAAGGAATGGGCCACATGCCTGGTGGGGATAGCACAGCACAGGGCAAACCACAGGCATGAGCAGGTCCATTTCATCACCCGGCCATGTCAAGTACCGTTCCCTTCCTCCCCTTCTCCTCCCCTTTTAACTTCCCATGATGACCTACATTATCAACCACTGTCATCACTTAACAACACCCTCTGGCTTCTACACCTCAGTCTCTCGGCCTGGCCCGGGTTGCTTGCCTTCAGGCTATGCCTCATGTGAGGTGTTTCGCCCATGCGGCTCATCTACTCTTAATTCCCCACGGGGCGCAAGCAGAGGCTCAGAGGAGTAAAAAAATCACCACATCCTCTACGTGAGGCTCCTGATGAGAAGGAATATGTCTGTTGGAGAGGAAAAGAGCAGGCAAGTCCCAACTCTGACATACCCTGCAAAATAAATGTTCTGAGTCTTTAGAAATTGTCAATGTCATGAAAGAAGATGATGATGATGGTGGTGGTGGTGGTAACTTTTTAAAAACTGGGAAACTTCATCAGATTCAAGAAGACTACCAAGAAATGAGAACTGGTATCTTATTAAATCCTGGATCAAAAGAAAGGAAAGAAAAGAAAAGGAAAAAATAAAAGGAAACTAGCTATAAGAAGCTTTAATTATACAATCGAGGAAATTTCGGTATTGACTGCGTGTTAGATAATGCTTTATTGATGTTAAATTTCTGGAGCGTGATAATTACATTGTGATTATGCAGGAGAATGTCCTTCTTAGGCGATCCTTCCCAAAGTAATTAGGGCTAAAGCTCAATGATATTCACAACAATCTCTCAGAGTGTTCGGAAACCACGGGAAACAAACAAAGGCTCTCTCAAGTCGGGAAGAGAGAGAAAGAGGAGGGAAAACAGCAACAGTGGGTGAATGTGGATGTGGGGTGTATGGGTGTTCACTGTATTATTCTTGTAGTTTTTTTATACGTTACAAGCTTCCAAAGATGGAATTGAAAAAAAATTAAAATTATAAGCTAAGATAAAATGTTAAAGACACACAAACCCAAGCAGCAGGAGCGCCTGAGGAACGCATTCAAACATTCAGCACCCACCGGAGCTCCGTTTTGAACGTCGGGTGTGTGGGGGGTGGTTCTTAACACGGTCACGGCTAAAGACTTTTTCTATCTTCATTTCTTTAACGGGTGTGTGCAAAAAGGAGACACGCAGATTGCTTTTCTGTGGTGTCTTTGTAAACAGAGTATTAATGAGTATTAATAGATGGATGTATATAGTATATATAGTATAAGAATAGTATAAGATAGTATAAGAAGATGGATGAAGGAGAGGCTCAAGTGAGAGCTTCTTAGCTTCTCAACCTTGTGGTGACCTTCACGACCTCATGGAGTAGGATTCTCAGCCAGGCAGAAGGAAACGAGAGGATGATTAGCCCGTGGCTAATGTCACTTAAAACCCAGCTCCAAAGTTAATAAAACGCTAAAATGAATAAGCTCATCTCAACCTTAAGAAATACGTCAGATAACAGGCAGGACTGTCTGCCCTGAGTGTCCGTGAACTTAGGAGATGGTTACCACTTGCCCTGCTCTGCTGATGGAGCATGGGGGAGGAGGTTAGGAGCTGCCTGCACTGGGCCACATAGGCAGAATGGTTGCGAGAGGTCTAACATCTTCCGATCCATATTCTGATGGACCGTTAGGCACATCTACATGGATGGTTTATAGCTACCTACAACCCCAACCCTAAAGTCCATGTATTACCATTCTTTCTCTCCCACTCTTACTCCTACTAAACACTCCCTTTGCTTCTGTTAATGACACACTTTTCCATCCAGTCTAGAGTTGTAACTCCCAAATGAATTTTGCCCTTGCTCTTCACTCCATAAATACATTAATAATGAGCAATTCTCCTACATAACGACACTTCACCTTAGTTCAGGTCCTCATACTACTCCCAAGGACTCCTACAATAACTTCCGTTTCGTTCTCCCTACCGCCTGTCCCTGCTCCCAGCCTCGATGACTCTGCCATCTTGTTGCCCGAGTCCCTTCTCTATAATGACAATCCGATGTGTCTCTCTCCTCATAAGTGGGGTATATGGTTCCACATATGGAACCACAAGTGTTTCTTCACTTTCGGTAAGAGGTAAATCCCTTGGGATAAAATACATGGTTCCACACAAGCCAACCCACTCTTACCTGACTTCATCAGTCCTGTCCACTCTGGGTGATGGCACCTGAGCTTACTGGAACCTAATTCTATGCATGTCCTTGTCCCTCTTATGTCTCGTATGTGTCCCTCTGGCTGCCTTGGATGCTGCTCCTCATTTATCCATCTGGGAAGTTTTAACCTTCCTTCCACGCCTAGATCACCCTTTCTTCCCCTCACTCCTTGAGGCAGAATTAGGGACATGCTCCCCAGGCTCCTGTGGCATCTTGATTACATCATTTATCCAAACAGCATCACTATCCTTTTTTATACATCTGTCTGTCCTCATCCACTAAATCCTAAGGACCGCACCGTGTTTTCATAATCTTGACATCTCTAGCACCTGGAGCAGCGTCTGACACGTAGTACTCAAAAAATGTATTAAATGAACAGATGTATTAATAAGTAAAGAGGAGGCATAAGTAAAAGAAATGGTTTATCAAACTTAAAAACCATATATATATATTTTTTACTTATTTAAATACTCATAGATCAGACCAACACCAATGAAACCACAGATTGCTCGTTGAAATTCATGATTGAAAACCTTCCTTCCTGCCGCCCACTCAACCCATTCTCATGTCCTAGGACTCTAGGATCGCACAGGGGTCACCACAAGACCTTTTTTCCCTGTGGGCATCTGGGAGCAACCCCTACATAGGTCAGTTCAAGCCTGCAACACATGAGGAGGAGAAGAAAAGGAGCCACATGCTGTCCACACCACCGGACGGTTGGGCAATCCAAAGACAGACGGAAATGTCAAGATTTAAAACTTTTTTCCCAAAAACTCTCTATGAGGGTGGTCTCAACGTAGAGTGGTTGGCGAACAGCCTCTGGCTGGTCACCCACACAAAATCCTGTGCCCTCTTACGCTATACTCTCAAGCTGACATCGATCTCGGTGCCGGAGGTGCCATTTGCATCTGGAAAGCTTTTCCGCCTCTGGGGACACTGCCTTCCAGCTGAGTCACCAGAACAAACTGCGGGGAGGTGGGAAAGATGGGAATTTGGACAGGTTTTCCCAGCATCAGACACTTGGGCTGGTGACCGCCAGAATCTTCTCAGCATTTCCCCGGGGAAAGTAAGATAATGAAATATTTGAGCCACGTGTCGTGTGCACTTTCAACATGTCACCTCTGGACAAGTCGGCCCAGCCGATGGATTATTAATCAAATTCAGCAACAGTCAAAAGACTTCCTTGTGCCGGGCAGTTGAGCGGCGACACCTGTTAGAAGAGAGACAGATGGCCTTACCTCTCGGCCCCCGCGTCCACAGCTGCGAGCGGGGGTAACTGGGAGGCGGGGTTGTGGGGGCTCCCCTGCACATTCTGTCCCGGAGAAGGGTGGCCGCCGGCGTGAGGGGGGGGCACAGCCCCAGCAGCTGCTGCGCTCCGGCTGGAATGGCGGCTGGAGAAGATGGAGGCTGCAACCAAGGAGAAGCGCGTCAGACGCTCGGCTTTCCACCTGCAGGCTGACAGCAAGGGTGCTGTGGGGGCTCGTTTCTGCTTCTCTTGGTGGCTTTGGGGGAGCAGCGCTTCACTCAGTGGATACACACAGCTTTTGTTTTCAGGGTGGGACAGGCTCCTGGGCTCCCGTGCCTTTCGAGCTGCTCGCGCCCCGCCGACACCCGCGGTCTGACTCGTCCCCTGCCTGCGCACCATACAGTTAGTCGATCGTGTGCTGCCTGCGTCTGGGCGAGGGTCTCAGAGTTAGCCCCGCTCAGTCACAGAGACACTGCTGACCCCGAAGGGCGTAACAGGCCGTCTGCCTCTTCTCCTGCCTGCAGCGAGCCTCTGCGGGTCACGCTGCCTCCCCCTCCATTGCGGCTAAATCAGGGTAATGACAATATCGTCTCCTGGTCCTCGCACCAGTGTAGGAGCCGACACCCCCTGAACCTCAGGGTCTAACTGAGCCCGGCTGTTTCCCTGATGGTGTGATGGATGGACACACTCTGTCTCCATCAACGATGACTCCATGCCCGGCACCACAGAACATGAAAAGGGGCCCCAAACACAGCTCTGGACCCCTGACCCCCCCCCCCCACACACGCACACGCACACGCACGATTGTCTATTACAACAGAGTGAGTTAGAGCCACACTCGTCGGGGCAGCCTAGGCTTTGAGAACTGTATGTGACCTCAAACTTAAATATGTGCCCATTTCCATCAGCTAATTGGTACAATGTCACAAGAGAGGGGGCTTGTCACTTTCCGAGTCTATCACTATCAGAGAGGCTCTCAGTGTCTGGGACCTACTCCGCACACGTCTCATTATGCTGCAGTCGCGGCAGCAGCGTTGCGCCGACTCTCTTCAACTTCCCTCCCTGTACGAAGCAGCTCGAGCTTTATACCCATCTCTGCTCTTTTTGAACTTACTCTACTGATGTCAAAGAATAAATGGATCTAAAAAAAAAAAAAAGGCATCAGGTTCAGGATTAAGAAGCAGCAGCCACATAATCAAAGAGATTGGAGGGTTTAAAAGTTCAGGGAGTGCCGCTTTTAGACCAGCCCCACTCTCTCCAACCTCTCCCGGAGAGCACGGATACCCCACATGACCCAGCCCCCCAAAGCTTCATCCGACGGAACAAAAGTTCAAGTACTTAAAGGAACATGTGAGGAAGCAGAATTACCATCTTCCCGCTCAAAAGCTACTGACAAGGACGTGCTCCGATGTGAACGGTTTATTTCGGGTAAGTTGGTGCAGTGTCAGGTTAACTCTTGTCCTCGGAAGCCCGTGTCCTCCATGGCCCTCCGAGACCTGCAGAGGCGGTGAGACTAGAAAGTGCTTACTCGCTCAGAAAGGCACCTCGGGCCGTCAGGGCGAGGGGGGTCAGGCTCCAGAAAAGTTGCACGTTTGCACACTGACTAGCGTCACCTTATGAATCACTACCCGCATTTGCGCTCAGCTCACTCGGGCAACCACAATTCTGCTTGTATCCCAGATAATAATTTTACCGCAGGGAGAGGGCTGTTTGGATTGACTGCGGTGGTAGTTTCAATGCTGGTGTTTGTCAGCGTGGAGCTGGCTGTTTTAGACACGATTCCAGAAACTAATGGAATAATAAGAGGTCACAGAGACACTGTGGAAAAGTGGCTCTTTTTCTTTCTGCCTTAGTGCAGAAACGCGAGCTCTCCTTTTTATCCTGTTGTAGTTGCCAAATGCGCCCCTCGCTTGCTTTCCCCTGGAGGTATTTTTGCACGTGTGTGTGTGTGTGTGTGTGTGTGTTCCTCACGAGGGAACCACTGCCTCTGTTGTGTCCATCCCCGTGGGCAACAGGGACTCTCTGGTGTGTGTGCTCTGAGATCTACTCTGTGGTTCAGTAGAAAATGGGCTGTTTCCCAGAGGTCTCCATGAGCTGTACCAGCTACATTTTTGCATTTGCTGCGGGAAAATACCGGGTAGGAAAATCTGGCATTGTTCGCAGCCTGCCACACCCTGCAAGGCTGAAAGGCCTGGTTAAGGGCCTCTCCTTCATCCTATTTAGTAGCCAGGACCAACCGTGGGCCATCCCTCCAGCCCTCCATCTATCCATCCGACCTCTAACCATTATTTTTTTAACCTAGTATTTATTAAGTGCCTACTACATGCTAGCCGCTCTAGTCCCTGCCCTTGGGGGGCTGCAGTCTAGTGGAGGACACAGATCTCTAGACACGCATTCTATCAAATTCCGAATCTGCCAGGAGAACCATCCAGTGGCGTCCTGAGTGCTTTAACACCCTGTCTCATCTGTGGCTCCACACTGTGACTCAGCTCTGGTCAAGTCGGACAGCCGGGCACGCGGCCACCACAGCACAGCAGCAGACCCCGTGCTTCCGACGGTAATGTCCTCTACCTTCCTCTACTCACTTGAATCCTTCTGCTCTGTGCGGTCACTTATGTTCTCTGACTCCTCTCTCGGCAGCCAACTATTCCACAAGTGTCTATGGAGGACGTACTGTGGGGCAGATGCTGAGCGAGGTCCTGGGATAGACGAGGGAACAAGACGCCCCTGGTGCTTACTCTCTCCAACAGCATCATTCATGTTTGGTGGAGTAAAGAAGGATGGACACAATCTAAAAGCCAATGGAGACCGTCTTGGGCCCAATGAGTAGGAAAGGAACAGAAAGGAACATTTATCTACCAAATCCTCTTCCTTATTGGTCAAAGGTGGCCCCATCTAGGGTGTTACTTCTCCCACACAAGTAGGTAGGTGTAGCCAAGTGGCTCAGGTTCCCGCAGATGCCCAATACCCGGGCATCAAAGAAACCCCAGGGCAGAAAGCCAGAGATCCATGGTACAGGGGAGGGGAAGGGCTTCTGAGTTATATTTGCTGCCACATATGATGGTTACCAGAGCAACAGCTGCTGGGAGGACTAGGTGGCAGAGAGGGTATAAGGTGGGCCGTAAGAGGCGTATGATACAGGGAAGAAGTCTCCGGAACCTGCCCTCCAGCTGCACTGAGGTCAAGTGCGGCCTGCCCCATCGTCAAACCCACACCAGCAGCCCTTTCTTCCACTGCTAAAGCTGGTGGATGGCAATGAAACCGGCAGTGACCCTGTGACTGGGGACCCCAAGAGGATAAGAAAGGATGGGTGTTAGCGTTCAATTCAAAGTCTGAATTTGTAAAATATACAGAATAGTTTCTTATGTTGGCTGAAAGAAATCACCTGTGTGCAAAATGGAACCCAGGACTTGCCTCTGTTTCCCAAGAGATGGGATGAGAAGCAGAGGATGAAACCTCTCCTGGTGAGGTCACCTAGTAGAAACTCACGGTTCAGTGTCTACACAGAGGACTTGGCATACAGTCCTGGACAAGAGAGCTGCTTGTGGGTGTTGCCTGCAGCCCCTACAACCACCAGAGACTTAGAGGAAATAAAAACAGAGCCTGGTGTCCCAACATTCATCCAACCCCTTGTCACATACCCTTGTGCTATAATGGACAAAACTCTGGGATGAGAGAACTGAGGCTTGGAAGGGTTGCCCTTGGCCTCAACCTGAGACCCACATTTCTCAGGGACTGTCCCTGTGGCACAGGAAATGCCTCTCCTACCTACACTGACTTCTAGGAATTTCCAGCTGTATCAATCATACATCCAGGATTCCATCTTCGTGTAGTCTAAGAATATCCATTCATTCCTTCATCCATTCATTCATCCATTCATTCATTCAAACATAATTTTCCAGCTCCAACTCCACACGAGGCAGGTTCTGATCTCAATGTTTGACTCCACCAGAGTGCCCAACGCAACACATGCTTCCAGACAAATGCTCGAGCTTTGCCAAGTGATTTTTTTAACCTCCAGAAGAAAATCTCCACATCAGAGTGCAACGGTAAGGTCATTTACAAAAAGGAAACATTTCCTTCCACACACACCCAACCAAAGTGGCGTACAACAAGGCCTGTCAATCAAAGCATAGGGAAAGAAACTGATCCCTCTAGAATCACAGCAATATTAACAAAATCGTTGTGATCAAATCAACCGGTGCACAAGGCTGCCCACAGAGGTGGCCTTCATTGTCTGGTGTCACCCCAGGGGTTCGTGCTGTTTTCAAGGCTGGAAGAGAGCTTTTAGGTGAACCTCCAGACGGCGCTGATGACTGGCAGCTGGAACAACTGATTAGGCATGGCCAAGGAACATATTGGAAATTCTTATTGCTTTTGTGATTAAGAGATGGTGGGCTCCCCAGGGAAATAAAAGCCTGGTCTTGAGATGGATTCGTGAGCCCTGCCTTCAGCAGAGGACAGGGAGCTGGCCTCCCTGACACTTTGGGTTTCCTCTCTGGAGCACAGCTCACTGCAGCCCCCCCCACCCGTCTCCTGCAGGGGGAGGTGTGAGTAACTCAGCGGGGCTTTATAGTTTCAACAGAGCTGGTCTGTGTGGCCCCCGGAGCCATCTCCCCAGCTCCCAGGACCAGGGCATTCAAGGCTTGAACCTTTAACTCGCTCAGGTTAATCTGGGTTAAGAAACAGCTCTCTCTCTATCCAAATGAAAACAATCAATGTACCTTTCTAGGGGTACAGACGAGATACCCGGGGACGCTTCAGCTGTCAGGTACTCACTGTATGAATGGAGGCAGGCGAGGTGTGTTCCCGAGAAGAGCCCACTTGTTTCAGGCCCTCTCCCAAGGCCAGAGAAGGCTACCCTGGTCACTGCTTGGCGACTACTGTCTCATCACTCGAGAGGACAGGGTGGAGGACCTCCCTCATCAGGTGAGGGATATGGAAAAAGCCAACTAGAGGGCATACGCCGGTTGAAAGCAGGATGGGCAGTTAAAAGTCCTGCTTTCCAAGTTTTCCCTTGCAAACCGATCACCAGGAACAGATACTGATTCTGAGTCACCCGGTCTTAGAGGCAGGGAGTGCTGAGCTTCTGAGCTCGTATCCAACTTCTCCAAGTCCCCTGGGCTGCTGAGGATTGCACCTGGGGATTGCACCTGGAGGC